TTTTCTGCTGAAAAATCCTCATGAAAATTGCCTTGGTAATTTGGTTGTTCAATCACCTATTTGGGAGAGATTCTTTGAATCTTCAAGATAAAACATGAAGAGCCTTTTGGGTTACAGGTGATTTCAAGCTCTTCAGGCTGCAGAAACCCCTGAGCTCTAATAGAGTGTATTCCTGTGTTCATGGCAAGGAGTCAAAAAAAAATAACATGAAATGTTCTAAACAATTAGGGAAGTAGAAAAACCTGTGTATGTCAGCCACACACGAGTCTGCAGGTTAGTGCATCCTTGGCTGTGGTGTGGAATCCATGTGGGCCAGTCCACAGATACAAACTGCATCGTTACCTCTTACCCTCTGTCTTGCAAATGCCTGCTCCCTATCACAGAATGCATCAGGCCAGAAGAGATGGATGACTTAAGACCCCTGTCAATATAACCCCCAAAATCACCACTGGTACTAAGGGAGGGCCAGTGGAGCAATCCTCATAAACAGAAAACTGAGATATTGCCTACTTTTGTTACAATTATTTGACATAATCATATTTTATGTTTTTAATTAGAATGCATGCATCCAAAGGAAATAGCTGTAATACCTGGAATGCATTAGAAAATGTGTCGACCCAACAGATCCGTATCTGGAGAATACATAGCAGCTGCACATAATTGTGTAGCCAGGGCTGCAGTGCATCAGTGAGGAGCAGATTCAATCACTGCAGCTATCCCATGTAATAAGTCACAATTTTTCCCTTTAAATACCCAAGCTGTTTTAAGATATTCCACCTCATCATACAGAACATAGTAAAGAGGACTCTGATTAGTTACTCAGTAATTGGAGGAGTCACTCTATCCGTTTCTGTCTGCTGAAAGGAGCTTTGGGACTGCTGCCTCCTCTGCAGGGCAGATGCCTGGACTCCCACCCTACAAGACAACCTCAGACCTTTGTAACCTAGTAGCACTCTTAGGCTACTCAGGACTTTGTAACCTAGTAGCACTCTTAGGCTGATGTGAAAGCCTGACAACTGTGTGAACAAGACCTCTAGGTTTTATGTGATTTACATCCTTGTTCCTCTTCCTATGACACGTGTCATGGATGTCTAAGTGCCTTCCTGGCTGTGGGGCGAATCAGGCCTCAGAGTTAGGTGTGGAAGTGACGAAAGTCCCCCACCACTGGGAAGACAAGCTAAGAGGACTCTACAATGGGATAGATGAGGACAAGAATCACCCTACCTAAGCAGTAGTTCCAGGACAAGAGTCCTAATTAACAGGAAGTGTCTATGTCTGAGGGGAGGCAAGATCAAGTGAGGGAGGAGGAGAAGAGGTTCTCTAGGAATGGGAGGCATAGCCAAGGGGCAGTTCACAGGATATGGCACCAGGGAGGACATTCTTATGGGGACAGAGATTGCATATGGAAAATGATGTAAGATCTGTTACCAAAATGCTGCCAAAACCTTATTTTGATATCAGAGATTCCCATACAGGGAATCATCAACTGTATGGGAGAAATAGGAACTCTAAATATCTCAATGAAAATAGTTAGATAACATAGTAATTATTATAGAAAATATATGATAATATCTAGGATGCTATCTCTAGCCTGTCACAATGTAGTTACAGTCTAGTCCTTGGCTGGGATGTTTTTAGTGCTCACAGGACAGGACGGATGCATGGTCAATGCCATGACACATCTTCCTCTTCTGCATGTCCTGGGCTCTCCTCCCTCCCCTCTCACCTGTGCAGACAGGAGGGAGCCTCAGATGGTTTGTCTGTGTCCCCACCCAAATCTCATCTTGAATTGCAGCTCCCATAATTCCCAAGTTGTGGGAGGGAACCGACGGGAGATAATTGAATCATGGGGGTGGTTTGTCCACATACTGTTCTCATGGTAGTAAGTCTCATCAGAGCTGATGTTTTTATAAGGGCTTTCCCCTTTCACCTGATTCTAATTCTCTCTTTTGTCTGCTGCCATAGAAGACTTGCCTTTTGGCTTCCACCATGATTATGAGGCATCCCCAGACACATGGGACTGTGAGTACATTAAACCTCTTTTTCTTTATAAATTACTCAGTCTCATGTATGTCTTTATTAGCAGTGAGAATGGACTAATTCAGAGCCCAAAGCATGGGGTAATGCCAAGTGAGCAGCGATGCCACAAGCAGGGGCAGAGGCAACCTGTCTGGATATTGAACCAGGCAGGAAAGAAGTTCCAAATAAAAGTAGAAGAATGTCCTGTGCATCTACATTACAATCTATTACATCCATTAGCCTGGAGTTTTCATTGTCTCAAGAATTAAGTCATAGAAACATATAGTGATACTGTTCTGACCCAGAAATCTACAATTAAATTATTTATATTTATTTGAAATCTGCCTTTTAAAAAACACAGAATGATGGGGTAAAGATATGGGATTAAGGCCAAAGAATTCAAACTTGGACCACTTTTAACTCCCTTTATGCCCGTTAAGTATAGAAAATGATACTTTTACTTGTCTTTTTTTCTATATAAATTGAATACTCAGTGCTCCTGAAACAATAAAAACAATTCCAAAATGAGACCTTAAAAATGGTAATGGGCTTATTTTAAATACATTTAAGCCTTTTAATAAAGAATACACTGATTGAAAAGTAAAGAGGATTTGCAACAATCTTTCCAAGGCAGCAGTGAGCCTAACGTTCTGATCCTGTGATAAGTTAAATCGCGTCAAAATAAGAATGAAGGCAATCTGAAATAATTTGAAAATAATCTTTCAAAAATTATCTCCTAATGCCAGAGATAAGATTCTTGAGGGTTTAGCAAGAAAAGAGAAAGGCTGGCTAAAACTTCAAAGATGAATATCCTGTCTGAATTGCTGTGATTGAGGGAAAAGATAAGTGTCTGAATGTCATAAAACCTTTAGAGCTGCATGACGGTAAATTAGCACATTGCTCCAACTATTGAATAGCATGTGATGACTAATTCAAGAATGTCCACTGGTCTTGTTAAGATCTTTTCATCAATGATTTCCATGTTAAAACTATTTCAATCATGCAAAGTTCTCAGTTCACACCTGTCTACATAAAGTTTTTATTATTATTATTTCCTTATATGCAAAACAAAACTAAACAAAATCACATTCTAGAGAGAAATATTTTAAGTTTTGATTCTACTGGCTATTTTTCTAGTTTCTCTCCTAATAAGAAAATTCTGTTGATGATTATTTTGCCAAGTAACTTAAACAATCATTAGAGTTCACAACCAAAATATTAAACCCTCCCTAGCAATATACTCAGCTGTATCAGTGAACATCACATCTAGAAATGCACCTCCTAAATAGAAGGGATGATGTGTTCCTAAAATTTTTTTTAAGAAAAATGAGTCACTCTCCCTGAAAACCTTACACCTGGTATGGAATGACACAACCCTAAAACCATCTCACAGATGCCAGTGCTGCTCAGCAAACAGTGATGAACAATGTTTTCATTTTGCCTGTGGCCTTGGAAGATGCTCCCCACATAGGTGAGCCTTATACCAAGGATTTATCTCTAACTACCTCACAAAACTTCAGTAATGTATGCTAGTATCTAAATTCCCACCAGATTCTATGTGAGAGTTAAGCAGGAAAGTCTCCTAGAATGTTTCAAACAAGCTTGAAGCTATGGAAATTTGATTTAGTGCACTTCAGGGAAAATACCCACTGCACAGCATGGTGTCCTGAAAGAAAACAGCATAGTTACCTATTTATATGAATGCAGCAAGTAACCCCAAACTCCTCACCCACTAAATGGATTTCTTGGAGTAGATGTCAAGGGCACCGTAAAGATCTAAGATTTTAGAATCTTAAAATAAATCAGATAATACTCCTTAACTCTGTGATGAAGAAAAAGTAAATGAAAGTATTTTGGTTTATTTAGAAATGGAAAGAATCTTAGATGTTATAGTTCAATATCATCATTTTATTTTATTTTATTTATTTTATTTATTTTTTTTTTTTTTGAGACGGAGTTTCGCTTTTGTTACCCAGGCTGGAGTGCAATGGCGCGATCTCGGCTCACCACAACCTCCGCCTCCTGGGTTCAGGCAATTCTCCTGCCTCAGCCTCCTGAGTAGCTGGGACTACAGGCACGCGCCACCATGCCCAGCTAATTTTTTGTAGTTTTAGTAG